AGAAACCGTCAGGCTTGAAAGGGAACTTTATTTTGCGCAGAGGAGTAGCCAACTATGAGCTGTAGGAGCATTCGGTCATTTGTCGCATTAAAGCGAATTTCTATTAGGATAGTGGTCTTATTCGGACAAACGTCCTTTCTGGCATTTATGGCTTTAGTCCATTCAGGTTTTCGTCTTACTCAGGCAATTGTCCATTATGGAAAATAAATTTTGGGTAAAACTGATCCGACCAAGTGATTTTCGGGCATTTTCCGTAGCCCTTTTCAAATATACTGAATTGGGTTTTACTTGCAGTCTTATACATTGGAAATGTGTATATAATTTGTGTTTATTGCCCTGGATGGATGGATGGATGGATGGATGGATGGATGGATGGATGGATGGATGGATGGATGGATGGATGGATGGATGGATGGATGGATGGATGGATGGATGGATGGATGGATGGATGGATGGATGGATGGATGGATGGATGGATGGATGGATGGATGGATGGATGGATGGATGGATGGATGGATGGATGGATGGATGGATGGATGGATGGATGGATGGATGGATGGATGGATGGATGGATGGATGGATGGATGGATGGATGGATGGATGGATGGATGGATGGATGGATGGATGGATGGATGGATGGATGGATGGATGGATGGATGGATGGATGGATGGATGGATGGATGGATGGATGGATGGATGGATGGATGGATGGATGGATGGATGGATGGATGGATGGATGGATGGATGGATGGATGGATGGATGGATGGATGGATGGATGGATGGATGGATGGATGGATGGATGGATGGATGGATGGATGGATGGATGGATGGATGGATGGATGGATGGATGGATGGATGGATGGATGGATGGATGGATGGATGGATGGATGGATGGATGGATGGATGGATGGATGGATGGATGGATGGATGGATGGATGGATGGATGGATGGATGGATGGATGGATGGATGGATGGATGGATGGATGGATGGATGGATGGATGGATGGATGGATGGATGGATGGATGGATGGATGGATGGATGGATGGATGGATGGATGGATGGATGGATGGATGGATGGATGGATGGATGGATGGATGGATGGATGGATGGATGGATGGATGGATGGATGGATGGATGGATGGATGGATGGATGGATGGATGGATGGATGGATGGATGGATGGATGGATGGATGGATGGATGGATGGATGGATGGATGGATGGATGGATGGATGGATGGATGGATGGATGGATGGATGGATGGATGGATGGATGGATGGATGGATGGATGGATGGATGGATGGATGGATGGATGGATGGATGGATGGATGGATGGATGGATGGATGGATGGATGGATGGATGGATGGATGGATGGATGGATGGATGGATGGATGGATGGATGGATGGATGGATGGATGGATGGATGGATGGATGGATGGATGGATGGATGGATGGATGGATGGATGGATGGATGGATGGATGGATGGATGGATGGATGGATGGATGGATGGATGGATGGATGGATGGATGGATGGATGGATGGATGGATGGATGGATGGATGGATGGATGGATGGATGGATGGATGGATGGATGGATGGATGGATGGATGGATGGATGGATGGATGGATGGATGGATGGATGGATGGATGGATGGATGGATGGATGGATGGATGGATGGATGGATGGATGGATGGATGGATGGATGGATGGATGGATGGATGGATGGATGGATGTGTGGATGTGTGTCCGCAGCCTTTAAGTCGTATCTCCTCCTCAACGAAACAATATCGAGGACTAGTTCCAAAAGCAAATATGTTAAGCAAGTTCCAAGGATGATTGTGGGCCAAAAAAATTCCCGGAATTCCTTCCTGGATTTCCAGGAAAAGCCCAAAAACCTCGAACAAATGCAGTTTTTGCTCCATATCTCGGCAACCAGACCACTTAGCGACTTGAAACATTTACCAATCGATTCCTGCCATAATTTAGACCAATATTTCCGAAGAAAGCTTTCAAAAATATCCTTTCGTTCGGTCACAAACATTTTTTTTAATTATTTAAACTGAGCATCTTGTAGGCCTAGGATGATATTTACTACTTGTTAAAACTGAGCATCGTGTAGGCTTTTTCCCCCCTTTGATGACATTGGCCAGACTCGCGCAGATCTCGCGAGGGGGCGGGGACTAGCTCTGCTCGCGTGGAGAGAAACGAAAAGGGGTGCAAACATCTACGGGTGTTTTAACTGAGCATCGTGTAGGCCTACTCGTTAAAATAAAACTATTTCCGTTGATATAGGTTAATATAGTTGTCTTTTTTTTAGCGCAAAAAAATATCCTTTCGTTCGGTCACAAAAAATTAATTGAGGAAATTGCGCTTAAATTGTCACTAGACTTTTTATTAACTTGTTTTTAATGTATAGACCTACCTGTTTTATATTACTTAAACACAGTTCTCTGAGTTAACCTTGATACTTTATTATAATAGACAGCATAGACGACAAGTCCTGTCTTGTCTCTATCTGTCGTTAACTGCCTCACATTAGCTACACGGTAAACATTGAGTATACAAAGGACGGTACTGGGACATACTTATAACAATTACTGTGACAAAAACAGAATGTTGAAAGCTTGAGATAATGAACAGATGATAATCATAGGGGTTGATGAGTTAAACCTAAAAGTAGAACCACTAGGTCAGCGGAGGCTTTCGATCCACAGTAAAGAGAAAAAAGGGGGAGGTTTAAAATGTGTGGTAATGGATATATTTAAATGAACTGGAAGAGCCTGTATTGACATTGCCAGTGGAAATATTTAGAAAGAAACTTCGAGTCGAAGTTTCTTCTAGTCTCAATGATTCATGAAAAGTAAAATGCAAGAAGAACAGCTTCTAAAAGAATTGATTCGTCTATTAAATAATCGCAGTTTCTTTGTTTACAGGAGATTATCAAGACAAGGCTGTACAGCAGGTCGATCTGTAGTATTCAATGGCAGCGTTTACCTCCCTTTCTCGCTTCTTATCAATTTTGGCAGACTCCAACATCAAGCTAATAACATTCGCAAGAATTTACAAGACGAACAGTGCAATGTTAACGAGTGGCAGTCTCCTAGCGTATGTGTTTATTTTATTTGTTACTTGTAGTTTACTCTATATTTGCATTGGCTTTAGTAACTTAGGTATCTCGAGAACAATGTAGTTATGTAGGCAAAAATGTATTACACATAGTACAGGTTTAAGGTGTTTGGTTCCATTAAAATTTGAAGCCATTTTGTTTCAAGCTGTGATGTTGGCGGGTAAGTAGATTAATAAAATTTCTAATTATTTTAATTTTTGACATGGAAATCGGCTTGAAAATTTAATTTAAATAATTTCTAAAAATCAGTTTTTATGGAAGATAAAAAAGTTCTTAAGTTCTATTTATGTAAATTTAGACTAATTTTTTAAAAATAAATTTCAAAGCCAATGTAAAAACTATTTTTTTTAAATTATTTTTTTTCTAAACCAGAGCTATATATATATATATATACAACATTTTAGAATAAAAATTATCAAGCGATCTTTATAGACTATCCGAGTTATTTTTGTTAGCAGTTTTATCTTTTATAAAAAAATATATTTTTAAAAGTCAGAATCAAATTATTAAAAACAACTAATATTAACTTTTTTTTTAATGTAGACCTATAAAAATATTTTTTAAAACAAACGTTAACTCAGATATTTAAAATGCTCTAATTTTAGGGTGAGTGTCTACAGGTAAAATGCGCACCAGGTAAAAAACCTGTCAACCAAACCTGCAGAGCGATCCCAGGCATAAAACTTTTGGACTACCATCCTAGACTCTGGTACACCCTCACCAAAGAAAGTGAAAAACTGTACAGTCTTTTTGTTAATGTATCGTCCATACATTTAATAAAAACGGAATTCCTAAGTAAGGTAGGGTATTGGTAGTAATTAGGCTATGTGCTATAAACAATCGTACAAATTATATAATCTGATTGGTAGTATATTTATATATACTATATATATATATGTAGCAGGATATATATATATATATATATGCCTATATATATATATATATATATATATATATATATATATATATATATATATATATATATATATATATGTATAGGTATATATATATATATATATATATATATATATATATATATATATATATATATATATATATATATATATATATATATATATATATATATATATATATATTTATATTTATATATATTTATATATATATATGTATAGGTATATATATATATATATATATATATATATATATATATATATATATATATATATTTATATTTATATTTATGCATTTATTATTTTAAATTTCAGCTTGCTGGTATACTCAATGAAACGTGTGCATCCTACTTTCTATTTATAGACACCATAATACCCAAAGCCAACACATCTATAACGTTTAACTCTATTGCACCTGTATTCTACATCACAGGAACTATTAAATCCAACGAGTTCCTTGACAGAGACCAATTCGAATTGAATATCACTCACTCGTTAACCTTTCTAGAAATTCAAACATATTTTGGGAGTCTCGTTTATTCAAGTTTTCCTGTTCTAACGAGAGATTTTGATGAATATTTTTGCGATAAATATAAACATTCAAACGCGTTCAGCTGCTCGTCAGTTGAAATAGAAAAAGAAATGAGCAACTCATTATTTACTTTACTAGGCAAACCTTTAGCGGTTCTTAGAAAAAAGGACCAAGAACTTAAAATTTCAAATTGTTTGTATTGCCCTTTCGTAAGCTTAAACATGTCGCAATACAGCATGACTCTTAACGAAACTACAATACCTCCAACTTTTATCGTTAAAATATACTTCAAGACAATTACATTAACAATACTTGATCCGCGGGATTTGAGACAACTAGAAATAGACACAGACGGCTTTCTTAATATCTGCCGCGATTTTTTAGACCGTTTAACGAAGCATAGACGCCTCGCCTCACGACTGAATAAAATGTCTTTAACGGAAGTGGCCGAGTACGCTGTGACTATGTCCTGTCTGGGATGCTCCATGGTTTGTCTGCTGCTAACCGTCACCGCCTACACCGTGTTTCCGGTTTTACGCACGAGGGCAGGGAAAAACAACGTAGTGCTCTCGTTGAGTCTTATGCTGGCTCAGGCTTCGCTCATTGTCAGTTCGCACACGTAAGCTGTTTTACCATCTGGTCTTAGATTATTACTACAGGGGTGACTTTCTCGGACTAGAAACCCAACGATGTGGTCGGGTCGGTAAAGTTCATGGTTGCTAAACCGAAAAGTCCCGAGTTCAAACCCCCGGCAGGTTAGGCTCGATAGCTGGGGACAGCCACTCTTCTAGGAGAGACAACTCCAAAATCAAACAACTGCTGCTTTGTAGTTTGTTCTTGATTGGACAAAGGAAATGGGAGCAAGACCCAACAGAAAAGCAGGCTGAAATCGGAGTCAACAGCCTATATGTCGCATAAGAAGTTGGCACTATTACTTGATTGTGTTTGAGAAAATCTCTTCCAGCACTAAAATTAAGAACGAAGAAGAAGACAAGAAAGCCCAGTGATAAATTTATATAATAATTTATAACTATTTTTTACCACATTTTCATGAACAAACCACGCATACGCCAATGTGTATTATATACTAAATGTTTTGTTATTTCAAATAGACTTAAACTGCATTTAGACGCAACACATTTAGTAAGAAGTCTTAATTCTTTATCCAAGTCGTTTAAAGAAGGCGAAGAATCGTCTAAACGTGCCTCATGGATTAAAATTTAAACATATTATTATACTTTAACAGACCAATTTCGAATATTAAAAAAAAAAATTAAAATTGTACCAAGTCTTATGAATAGGCAAAAATTATTCAAATCTTGTGAATTTTTCTATAAGTAAAATGAAATCGAGTGCAACGGCGTGGCCTAGCGGTAGAGAGCTAAACTGCGACACTGCTAAAAGCTATACTACTAACCCGGAGATCTCGAGTTCGAATCCGGGTTCAAGTCAGTAGAATGTCCCTGAGTCCACCAAACTATGTTGAGTACCTAAAAATGATGATGATCAATGTCGACAACAGTGGAATTCCAATTTCAATGGCGACTATTGTTTTTAAACATAGAGGCTTAGTTTATGTTTTTATCATTTTTATAAGATAATATCTTCATTTTAATTTTATTTTGGAATATGTATATATATATATATATATATATATATATATATATATATATATATATATATATATATATATATATATATATATATATATATATATATATATACATATATATATATATATGTATATATATATATATGTATATATATATATATATATATATATATATATATATATATATATATATATATATATATATATATATATATATATATATATATTTATATCTATCTATCTATCTATCTATCTATCTATCTATCTATCTATCTATCTATCTATCTATCTATATATATATATATATATATATATATATATATATATATATATATATATATATATATTCCTAATACTAATAAGCAATTTTTCTAATTTCCGATGTGTCGTGCACGTATAATAGAAGGAACTTAACGCCTGCTCTGAATTAACTCACAATTTTAAAATACTTCTTTAGCACAGCACCTGGCATCCTGTGTACAACTATCGGCATTACAACCCATTTCCTCTGGCTCTGGATGTTCTCATGGACTTTGGTCTGCAGCCATCACATGTTCAAAGTGTTCACGGCCAGGACTCCCGTCCTCCCCGGCACCCCACGGGAGCAGAACGTGGAGCTGATGAAGACCGTTGGTCTCTCCCTCGCTGTCCCCACTGTGGTGTGTGTGGCCGTGGTGGCGACTCACCTGGTTGTGTACGACGGCACCAAGACAGGTTATGGGGAGACTAGCTGCTACATGGATAACACGTTTCTCGTTGGTAAACTGATTTGGTTTCATGCTCTAGTTCAGTGTTTCTTTCAGGCATCTCTTCGGGGAAAGGAGGGGGGAGGGGCGGAGCCCGAAGAAAGTCTTCCGGTCCCCCCCCCCCCCTCGAATAGTCGAGTTTTTTACGGAATCTTTTAAGTCACTCAATCAGTGTGTGCCTGTGTTATGTTAAATGTGTCGGATTTTTAGCTAATTAGTTATTTCTTTGCTTTGTCACTAATGTCGTTCAGCGTGTAGTAAAGCACATTGCGTTTTGACCAATAACTATTTTTTATTTTTTTTTCTTAATCAAGTACAACATTTTAAAATATATAGGTCTATACTTCACGTGAAACGGGTACCGATGGCTAGTCAGTAATTAAACAGATAGTGTTAGTTACCTCACACGTTAAAGACATTTACAAATACAATGGACTCTGTTGGCCGCTGAGTTTCTTTCAAACAGCTGCCCTTGGAGCACGTCACATGTCCCCCCCCCCGGACAAAATAGAAAAAAATATAATTTGTATAGATTAATCTGTTTCTGTTCTCGCCCTTCCCCCCCCCCCCCCCCCGCGCGAATGTTGTGAATGTCCACCGTAGTATAATAATATACGAAAGGAACACAGTCTGCTGGTGATGTGGTGGTGGTTGTGTGCTGCATGCATCTCGATTGTATTAGTCGCGTACTTCAAATCCCTTAGCAGATGAGGTTTGCAACTGAGGACAGAAACCCAATCTAGGAGAGAAAACTCCGAAATCAAACAGGAGTAAAACCCCTTAGACGATAGGATAACCAACTTTGGTTTCCTTTCGGCAGCTTATTTGACACTGCTGATTCCAAGCTGTATAAGTAACGTCTTGTCCCTTGGGTCCATCAGCTGTGTGGAGAGGGGATTCTGATTCTTGGCCATAATATGACTCTTCTCAAATTAAGGCACAGGCTTTGTACTTTGATTTCCAATGCATAATCATCCAATTTTCTATTAAGACTGTTGAGCTATATATTTCATCACTTTTAATCTTGTCAAACAAAGCTGTTTAAAATGAAAACGCATACATATCGACAAAAACGACTCCTAGGTCTAACTCCAATCTCCACAGGGCTCTCTCTCGTGGGACCTTTAGCCGTGATCATCACCTGCAACCTGTCGTTTTTCCTGACCACCGTCTGCATCATCCACAAGACACGCCGCATGCAATCTGCCATGTACTCCAGCAGCGACCTCGTCAAAGACGTGTTCATCTACGCTAAACTCTCGACCATTACAGGCGCCTTTTGGACTTTGGCCGTTGTAGCTGAGGCTTTGGATGTCACTGCCTTAAGGTAGATCCAGTGGCGTAGCTAGGATTTTTGGGACCCTATGCAAAAAGTGTTAGTGGGCCCCTCAGAGGCGTAGCGACCTGTCCCGGCGACCGGGGACAAACTTTCGATTTGCACCCCCCCCCAACGCTCTCAAACTTTCGATTTGCACCCCCCTCTCAAACTTTCGATTTGCACCCCCATCAGACTTTCGATTTGCCCCCCCCCCCCCTCAGACTTTCGATTTGCACCTCCCCCTCAAAACTTTCGATCTGCACCCCCCCCCCCAGGCTTTCGAAAAAGGAAAGGGCCACCTATTTGCCTTGGGCCCCTATGCCTTGCTTACGCTAGCTTTACGGTAGCTACGCCACTGGGTAGATCTTAAAAATATTAGTACATTATTTAAATAATTTTTTAGAAAAACTACCGTTTCTAGTCACATTGTGAACTTATGTAATTGTATTAAGACTAAAGGTCCAAAAACGTTAAATTTATATATATTTATAACTTTGTAAATTTAAATAGAATTTAAAATCTTAATATAATTTTGATAACTTGATTTTATTTTGCAAATACTCAATACTTTCAACAACGTAATTTTTTTTAGGTTTATTTCAATCGTCATTAATGGCCTACAGGGAGTGTTTATCTTCCTCTCCTACACGTGCAACAAAAGAGTTCTCGATTTGATCGTCATGTTTGTCTATGGTCATCGTGTGCCCAATACAATGTCCGCAGAGGCTACGTAGGCTGAAGTTTGTTATTACTTAATCCTCTTTAACAGTGACGTCACTAGGTCGGGTTTCACCCCCTCCCCACAAAAAACTAAAACTTTTTGGTGTGGTGTCACCCCTGTCCTATTAATTCTTTATTTTAACCGGAAAAAAGCGTCGTGAGAGTAAATTTTAAAATTTGGTGTCACCTTGTGCTGCCAGTGCTCCTTACTCAATGTTGGAGCTCACCCATATTCGTCCACTTTAAGAGGTCACCAGTGTGTGTTTTGCCGTCTCCCAAGACATGCCTTTTTTTTACCTTACAAGTTTCTTACACATCCTACGACCTGGAACACTGCAAAGCCCCTACTCTGGCCTGTTCGGCATGGCTAAGCCTGACAGAATTATTGTGACTAGAATCTCGCCAGTATAGGTCTGGGGGCTGCTAGGACAATCAAGTCGTCACATCACTACCAGCTGATTTGCCATCAGGAATACAAGTACAAGCAGAAGATTCTATATTTATTCTATATTTCTGAATATTGACGTCTTGTTTAATAATAAGTTGTCATTTATTTCTGCATTAAAAAAATAAAATAAAATACACTTCTTTAGATGCTTGGAAGAAACCTTAGTTCATGGGGGAAGGTGCAGTAGAGCTCAATAGTTAATTATAGTGACCTCTGCAAAGACAGAATATGGCTTTCTATAAAAGTAAAAATTCATCTTTAGACCTAACGATCCATAGACAGATGAAGTGGAAATTATGTTTCTTGACATCCGCATATAAATGTGGTCAGCACTATGCCCAACCGCCTTTACTTTCCCTAACGTGAGTTGGGTATCCATCAGATTTGGGTGGACTCAGGGACGTTCCATTAACTTGAACCTGGATTCGAACTCGAAACTATCCAGTAGCAGTCTAGCGCTCCATCGCTAGGCCACACCGTCCCATATGGCGTTCCTAAATGTTCTACCTCCTGTTTCTTAATTTTCCTAGACAATGTACAGAATGCCCAACAGGTGACCAGGTATAGTGTAGAATCAGACCACACCATCCAGGTAACTTTGCTGTGTGTTATTTCAGCCCTCAAACAAAAGCACATACTAAACAGTCACAAAAATTCAAAGCAATCCAAGACAACAATACTTGGTTACAGTTCTTTGACATAAGCCAACCCAGTGTTACAGTAATGTATTACATTTGTAAGAAGTAACTTTGATAGGCTATTATTTAATCAGATCCCAAATTATTTTTGTGTGTTTTTACAGCACCCACTCTTCTGGTAATGTTTATACAAACAAGACCCAGCATTGCCTAGTAAAGTACAGTTTTTTTTTTAAAGTTTAAATAAAAAATGATCTTGTTAAAATGAATCAAAACCTGTTTTGTTACCTAATATAAATGAAAAATAGCATGTGTCCAAGCAAGAACAAACTACAAGACAGGAGTTGTTTGATTTTGGAGTTGTCTCTCCTAGATGAGTGACTGTCCCCAGCATTCAAGGAGAGGAGGTGGGTGTTTGAACTTTGAACGTAAACAATCCGACCATGCCAACCTCCAAGCCTCATCAATTTGATTGTAATTAGTACAGAGTACCACAAGGTTAGGTCAATTTTAAAAAAGTACCGAAGAAAAACTTGATGTTTAAAACATTTAATGCCAACAGATAAAGAATGTTAATTTTGACAATATTATTACACAAAGTCAAAGTTAAATCTCAACAGAGGGTTTTTGGTGATGTTTTCAGCAGCAGAGAGCATGCTTTTGACTATACGTCAAGCAAGAACAATAGGTGACTAATACATCATCCATCAATTTCTTGGTAATTGTATCATGTTTGATATTAGATTAGGGATTTAGGTTATAGCTGTTAGTGTTGATTTTATATCATAAAAACAGAGAGATAGTTAAAAAAAAACTTATATCCAAAAGTTATTAATAAAAAACAAATGATAGAATTTAATACTTTATATCCATTTACATATAAACATAAACATTTTAAATATTTCTAAATATTAAAATAAATCAGGAAATAGATATTTTTACACATCTTAAAATGACTGCACTGTTTTCTATTAAAATTAAACCGATAAATTTTTGTACCTCAATAGTTCAATTATGTTAAAGTACATGATATTTTGCCAAACAATTTCTGCCTTTCACAAAACATAAAAAATTATCACACACACTACACTTCACAAATGTTCTTCTAATCGTTTTATCAGTTAAATAGCATAATTTACAATTCCCCCGTGTCTCTGCTATGATAGGGTGCACTGGGTGTTTAGAAAACAATGGTGGCTTACGTGTAGACTGTTTGCAACATTTACCACAATTGTAATGGTTTTCTTCTGTATGCCATCTAAAATGATTCTGTACAGCATGATACTGTTGAAAACATTCACCACACTGTACACAATAGTAATGCTTCTCTTCAGTGAAAATTCTAAGGTGTGTCTGGAAATCCCGAAGCTGCGTGAAACATTTACCACACACGTCACACGTGTAAGGTGTTTCTGCCATACACATGATCCGGTGTTGGGGAAAGTTATTTGACTGGGAAGAAAGTTCACCGGCGTCACCAATCAGATCCGGAGCCCCGTTGGTAATTCCACCGCCACCATGTCGGTACCTCAAATGTTTATTCAAATAGGCAAGTTTTGTAAACGCCACTCTGCAATGCTGACACTGATAGGTATCTGTAAATTTGAAATGACAACTTTGAACAACAGCATTGTTACATTATCTAATACAGAGATACATAAATAATTTTTATTAATTAATTTTATTCATTAATTAATACCAATTAATTAATATTAATAATAAATTAATACCAATATTATAATCTCTGTTACTTTTTGTTGAGTTTATTATGTTTGATAAAGTTTCTACATAAATATGACAACAAGTACAAGAACATAAATCATGGTGTGTAAGAGATAAGGCTTTAGGAGACAAAATCTAGACACTGATAATAAGAAGACTAACTAATATCATGGACACAGTGATGACTAACTAATAGAGTTGACACAGTGATGACTAACTGATAGAGTGGACACAGTGGTGACTAACTGATAAAGTGGACACAGTGATGACTAACTGATAGAGTGGACACAGTGATGACTAACATAGAGTGGACACAGTGATGACTAACTGATAGAGTGGACACAGTGATGACTAACTGATAGAGTGGAGTGGACACAGTGATGACTAAGTGATATAGTGGACACAGTGATGACTAACTGATAGAGTGGACAAAGTAGTGACTAACTGATAGAGTGGACACAGTGATGACTAACTGATAGAGTGGACACAGTGATGACTAACTGATAGAGTGGACAAAGTAGTGACTAACTGATAGAGTGGACACAGTGATGACTAACTGATAGAGTGGACACAGTGATGACTAACTGATAGAGTGGACACAGTGATGACTAACTGATAGAGTGGACACAGTGATGACTAACTGATAGAGTGGACACAGTGATGACTAACTGATAGAGTGGACACAGTGATGACTAACTGATAGAGTGGACACAGTGATGACTAACTGATAGAGTGGAGTGGACACAGTGATGACTAAGTGATAGAGTGGACACAGTGATGACTAACTGATAGAGTGGACAAAGTAGTGACTAACTGATAGAGTGGACACAGTGATGACTAACTGATAGAGTGGACACAGTGATGACTAACTGATAGAGTGGACACAGTGATGACTAACTGATAGAGTGGACACAGTGATGACTAACTGATAGAGTGGACACAGTGATGACTAACTGATAGTGGACACAGTGATGACTAACTGGTAGAGTGGACACAGTGGTGACTAACTGATAGAGTGGACACAGTGATGACTAACTGATAGAGTGGACACAGTGATGACTAACTGATAAAGTGGACACAGTGATGACTAACTGATAGAGTGGACACAGTGATGACTAACTGATAGAGTGGACACAGTGATGACTAACTGATAGAGTGGACACAGTGATGACTAACTGATAGAGTGGACACAGTGATGACTAACTGATAGAGTGGAGTGGACACAGTGATGACTAAGTGATAGAGTGGACACAGTGATGACTAACTGATAGAGTGGACAAAGTAGTGACTAACTGATAGAGTGGACACAGTGATGACTAACTGATAGAGTGGACACAGTGATGACTAACTGATAGAGTGGACACAGTGATGACTAACTGATAGAGTGGACACAGTGATGACTAACTGATAGAGTGGACACAGTGATGACTAACTGATAGTGGACACAGTGATGACTAACTGGTAGAGTGGACACAGTGGTGACTAACTGATAGAGTGGACACAGTGATGACTAACTGATAGAGTGGACACAGTGATGACTAACTGATAAAGTGGACACAGTGATGACTAACTGATAGAGTGGACACAGTGATGACTAACTGATAGAGTGGACACAGTGATGACTAACTGATAGAGTGGACACAGTGATGACTAACTGATAGAGTGGACACAGTGATGACTAACTGATAGAGTGGACACAGTGATGACTAACTGATAGAGTGGACACAGTGATGACTAACTGATAGTGGACACAGTGATGACTAACTGGTAGAGTGGACACAGTGGTGACTAACTGATAGAGTGGACACAGTGATGACTAACTGATAGAGTGGACACAGTGATGACTAACTGATGCAGTGGACACAGTGGTGACTAACTGATAAAGGACACAGTGATGACTAACTGATAGAGTGGACACAGTGATGACTAACTGATGCAGTGGACACAGTGGTGACTAACTGATAAAGGACACAGTGATGACTAACTGATAGAGTGGACACAGTGATGACTAACTGATAGAGTAGACACAGTGATGACTAACTGATAGAGTGGACACAGTGATGACTAACTGATAAAGTGGACACAGTGATGACTAACTGATAGAGTGGACACAGTGATGACTAACTGATGTAGTGGACACAGTGATGACTAACTGATGCAGTGGACACAGTGATGACTAACTGATAGAGTGGACACAGTGGTGACTAACTGATAGAGTGGACACAGTGATGACTAACTGATAGAGTGGACACAGTGATGACTAACTGATAGAGTGGACACAGTGGTGACTAACTGATAGAGTGGACACAGTGATGACTAACTGATAGAGTGGACACAGTGATGACTAACTGATGGAATGGACACAGTGATGACTAACTGATGCAGTGGACACAGTGATGACTAACTGATAGAGTGGACACAGTGATGACTAACTGATAGAGTGGACACAGTGATGACTAACTGATAAAGTGGACACAGTGGTGACTAACTGATAGAGTGGACACAGTGATGACTAACTGATAGAGTGGACACAGTGATGACTAACTGATAGAGTGGACACAGTGATGATTAACAGATAGGGGACACAGTGAAGACTAAATATTGACAGAGATTAGAAGTTTGTAGTGGATGAATTCGCCCAGTATAAAGAACAGGGTAAATCTATTTACCTGTCATTTTCAATCCAAACTCTTCTTTTTTACAACACTTAAACTGAGTCAATATATTTACCTCCTTCATTGTTCTCCATGTTTGTTAAACTGCTCTTGCTTACATCAACACTCTGTACCTCAATCAACACCCAGGTCTCTGGCATAGCTGTCACCTGAAAAGTGTCACAACACTGTTCACATTTTCAACATGTTAAAGGACAAGGAAATGGAAACTTATGACTAGGGAAATAATCTCATTTTTAATTAAGATTTTTCAAAAATTTAAAACCAAATTTAGCGGAACAAAGTTTGACAAAAGCAGAACGGTGTGGTGAAATAGTAATTTTTTTTCTAACTTAGCGGACTTATTCCACTATTGGCGGGTTAGTAGACTAGTATGGGGTCATCATAGTACACCTGAAAATGTCAGAATACTGTTCTATACTAGTTAATGTAACCAAATCTTAGCTGTCACCATAGTACACCTGAAAATGTCAGAATACTGTTCTATACTAGTTAATGTAACCAAATCTTAGCTGTCACCATAGTACACCTGAAAATGTCAGAATACTGTTCTATACTAGTTAATGTAACCAAATCTTAGCTGTCACCATAGTACACCTGAAAATGTCAGAATACTATTCTATACTAGTTAATGTAACCAAATCTTAGCTGTCACCATAGTACACCTGAAAATGTCAGAATACTGTTCTATACTAGTTAATGTAACCAAATCTTAGCTGTCACCATAGTACACCTGAAAATGTCAGAATACTGTTCTATACTAGTTAATGTAATCAAATCTTAGCTGTCACCATAGTACACCTGAAAATGTCAGAATACTGTTCTATACTAGTTAATGTAACCAAATCTTAGCTGTCACCATAGTACACCTGAAAATGTCAGAATACTGTTCTATACTAGTTAATGTAATCAAATCTTAGCTGTCACCATAGTACACCTGAAAATGTCAGAATACTGTTCTATACCAGTTAATGTAACCAAATCTTATCTGTCAACATAGTAAATTACTACTGCTAAAATAACAACAAACAGTATTTTTAAGCTAAAATACCATACTTATCACTGCAAGACCCTCCTCCCCATTATATGAATACAAGTGATGTTTAACACTTCATGATATACATCACAGATAGAATTGAGCTAAAGTTTATTAGAATATAGTAAATATTTGACTTTATTTTCAAATATTTAGTGATTTTTATCCTCAATATCCCCAAGATCTAACCATTTTTAAAATATTCCTTATTATTTAGTTAAATGGAAAATTGTTCAAGTTTAAAAACCCTGACTGCTAATTATAAAATATAAATTGATTTAACAAAGAACTCCTGATTTTAAAATGTTAAGGTAAAAAAAAGTCATCTTTACCTAACATAATCCGATTATTCTGATTGACGACTATGATTTTCAATAGTTCATTACATGTGGAGTTAACCAGTATTTGTTAAAACTTTTGCTGATGCAAGGGTAGTAATTTGGCACTTTCGAGTAAAGTAGCGTTCTTGCAAACAAATCGTCACTGCACAGTTGCTCATCAACGATATTATGGATAACTATCATTTTTAGTGACAGTCCCAGAGTGTAATCCGAATGGATTGTGTTTTGTGTAATAACTGTTAAACATGCCACATTTACTCTGAATTATGTTTTCGGAAATGACGTCAAATAAACCTGGATCAACATTGATATCTGGTATTTCTGATCAGAATATTTTGTCAATTGTAATTGTCTGGTGTAATTTCATTAAACAACCAAATAAAAAAATGTGAATGTGGTAATCCCTGATATTTTTGTGTGTTTTGGTTGTGTTTAAAATAAAATACGCTCAACTGGAGGTGAACATGAAGCGGCAAATAAAATACGCTAAAATGGAGTTTTACCACAATTTAATACATATTCAAGATGATATTTAAAACTAGAAAAAAATTAATGCCATTTTTGGCATTTATGATTTGCGGGGACGATTTTTGGTAATCTATCGTTTAAGGTACGTAAAATCGCCCGCGACTTGTAATGTGAAAAACAGGTGACTCCTTAAATTTTAATAATTATTTCACATTTTGAGGAGGATTTATGTTTATTAAAATACAAACATGTTTCCTTGTGTAATTTATGTACCTGTTTTTAAACAATTGAATTACAGCTTTTCAGTAATAAATGAAGACTAGTGATGTTTCCAACAGATGCAACCATACTCATTTACTATAGCAGCCATCTTGTTTAAGTTTTATTTTTATAAGCTTATAGCGCGAGATTCAGGGGGAAGCCCCTCTATTTTAAAAATGGCTGCTGTTTAGGCCCTATATCTATATACTAATATATAGTAAATCTTGCTCTCAGACACTGCTGATTAAAGTTAATTTCTGGCCTATAGGCCTAGGCCTATATAGTCATATACTATATAATAAATTATATCGATATATTTAGCAGCAATTGATTTAGGTTTATATGACAATATACTTCTATTAAAGCCTTGACAATGAGGTAATGTTTTCGTACATTAATAGCCGCGGGCGATTTTACGTACCCAAAACGATAGATTACCCGATTTTTTGCCGTTCCTCTACTACTAGTCTACTACAATCTACAATCTACATGCATGCATGGCAAGATAATGAATGGAATGCCCATGATTTTTTAAAAAATGTTTAAATGTATAGCGGAATTAAGTAGATTCTCTCTACTTACAATTTCAAGTTAACTTGCTTTAATTTAGGTGAATGAATAACGTAAGATAAAATTACTTTTAAAATTAATTAAATGCTAACAACTAACATTCAACTCTACAAATTTCTACAGATATGTTGACATGGGCGCCATCTTGTTTTAAAGAACAGTAACCGGAAATTTTCGTTTTTATAATAGTTCCTTCATAGTCTCCCTTCCTTAATAAAATAAAATACACTAGCCCTGGTGTAAACATGGAAAATGAAACAGAAAAGTAACAGAATCATAGGATGTTAATCTACCAGTGGCGTCGATAGGGGGATGTCACCCTGTGCGGAGCCTCATGGTTTCAACCCCGTCCCCCCCCCCCCTATATTGCCAATGTCGTGAGTTTGAGCACATATTATTTTAATCCGCGTATTAATTCAAGTGGAAAAAGCAAAGTTTTCATAGTAAATTATTAGATGTGGCGTATCACCTAACCCCTGTCATAGAGGCGTAGCGACCCCTCGCGGCACCCTGGGACAAACTTTCAATTTGGCCCCCCCCCCCCATACCCCATATATTTTATATATATAATTCAAAACTGCAGCTAAAATGAGCTTTTAATTTTTTATCAACCCATGTTGGCGCCCCTAGGGTCGGCGGACGGGGATATTTGTACTCACCAACCCCCGTCGCTGCTCCTCTGCCCTATCATCGATTGAAAATATTCTATAAAACTTTGTCTCCTGTGTAAATTTTGCAGTAAGTATCACCCCCCCCCCCTTTCTCCCGGATAATAGATTTAAAGGGTGCACAATGTAAAGAGGTTTATCTATATTATGTTATTAATACAGGTAGATGTAGCATTATTGTTAACCCTAACTCCCTAAATGGTGTCACCCGGTGCGGTCGGCACAACTTGAGTTTTTATTATAAGGTATTGAGATACTCTCAAATAAAACTTAAACACTCCCTTTTTTTTCCTAGTCATAACCCTATTTTTTAAATAATTGTATACAAATAAATATGGTTAATAAAAAATTAGCTTCGCATATTTAACATCTTGAAAAAAGAGTTTCGATAAGGAAATGCAGAACTGAAATGCATGCTACTTAAGCATGTCAATACTTAAAATCTGTGCAAAAAAAAAAAAAATCACATGATTTCTTCACTTAAGTGTATGTCACGTGAACTAATTTGCTTACGTAAACAGAGTTCACAGTATGAGAGAATGTGGGTTGTGTTTACATTGATAACATTTTCTAGAAAAAAAAATGTATTCCTCTGAAACTGTATCACGTTGATGATAAGGATGCTGAAAAGTAACTTAATAATAGTGTTGTTTATTTTTAGGCTAAAGTTTTCATCGTTGAAAGATAAAGAGTTATCCTTACCTGCCCCGTTATCTAAAACAAAGTCCATAGCTCGAGAAGGCGCTAGATATGTAGTGGGCTTTCGTGATGTGCGGTACTTCTTTGCGGCGTTGGTTAAAGGGCCGAAATCCATTGTACATTTTTCAATTTTAATATGTGTTTGAGATATTTGTAAAACTTCTAACCTGTACTATCCTGTACTATTCTGTATTGTACAAATAATTAAAAAATAATACAATACTAGAAACTTTGGTTTTATATACGTTTATTTGTTTTTGCTCTTAAAAGAAATGTCTAGTAAACTTTTAGGGCGTATACTTAGAATAATCTCCCCTGAGTAAGTTTTATAATTGGCTATGTTTGCGTAACGGCGCTTTGTTGTCTCTTTCAAGTTTTTTCCCAAGGCGACCCCCATCCCACCCCTCTGTCTTAGCCTCGCAAGTATCGAGTAGATAAATATATCGTTTATAGGCTATTTCCTAACCGTACATTCACCACTTTAGCACATTTAGTCAGACACTAAACAGCTCTATGCAGCAGATATTAATTTACTTGCATAGTATTAGGTGCATCGAATTCACTAAACAGCAAGGCTACTCCGTCCCATAAAATGATTAATAGGTTAGTACAAAATGTTTGTCCGTAACGGCTGTGATAAAATTTAGGCGTAATCTTTGTTACACTCCAATGTGTCTAATGAATGCCAGAGGCATAACGACCCTTCCTGGCGCCCGGGGACAATCTTTCAATTTGGCGCCCCCCTCGGGAACAGCCTTTAAACTTTCCATTTGCACCCCCTCAAACTTTCAATTAACACCCCACCCCCCTCAAACTTTCAATTCGTTTTTCAAACCCATTTGGCGCCCCCTATTGTCACCCATACCCCGCACCCCCTCCCCTTCCCTACGCCTCTGATACATGCTTTTGGTAATGCGTTATTCCATATTACTTGTATGACCTTATTCTATCAAACTTATAATCCAACTAGTTTACCATTAACAGAGATTGTTAAAAGGATAGAAAAATAATATAAAAACTGGCCTTAAAAAATTATCGCCTGCTACAAACTACTATATGGGCGCCAAATTGAAAGTTCGCCACGGTTTTAGGGTAAGTTGGCTACGCCTCTTATAAAACGAGGGCCGCGCGAGTGATAGATAGTGATAACACGCACTGGCCTACGTGTTCAACTGTTATGCGTCAAGTAGATTATGTCTTGTTAAGGTTGGCTTTCTAGGAAAATCGTGATAAAGGGAAACTATGATGAACCAACTTGCATCTCTCATTGCTTTGAGCTGAGGATTATATGGTTTCTCGTTAAAGCTATAGTGGAGTTTATTTGTCATTTCTTGTTACATGGTACATTTTTCAGTTATGTGTACTTTTAGTAAAGCTAGTATAAAATATAATATAAGCTATATATATATATATATATATATATATATATATATATATATATATATATATATATATATATATATATATATATATATATATACATATATACACATATATATATATATATATATATATATATATATATATATATATATATATATATATATATATATATATATATATATATATATATATATATATATATATATATAGGTTGATGAAATTTCATATATAAGTATTACATCAAAATCGTAGATCCGTATCAACTTTGGAGCGATTTCCGATAACCGGAAGGGGTACTTTTTCTACTTTGAATTTTTCAAAAGCCTATTTACTATGAGATAGATTATGGGTGTGATCCACCCAGTTGCCAGGGAAAGGGTACCAAATATGTTGCCACGGAAAGAGGGAAAGAGTTAAAATACATACTAAATTGGAGCATTTATAAACACGAGTGTTTCATTCAGCAGATTGCAAGGCTGTTTCATGGATGCAATGAAGGCGTTGGTATTGTTCACAAGTTTGGCTGTGCTTCTGTGGACGTGTGCTACAGTTACAGCCCAAGATGAGCTCAACACCACCTGTACATTAACCCCTGTCATCACGGATCAGCTGAAGACGAAACTTTATGAGTACTTTGATAAGTCGTCTGAGACCAAACTCCTAGAATATAAGTTGGTATTTGAAAATTACACGAATAGTCAGAAATGCAAGGATTCGGCTACTTCATTTGAAAACTGGAGGTGAGAAAATGTGAATAAATCGTGAATTGTATATATATATATATATATATATATATATATATATATATATATATATATATATATATATATATATATATATATATATATATATATATATAATTGCTTAAATATTTAAATTATCCATCTTCCCTGCCCTGTATTCCACCAAATCTGGAAGGCAACTTTATCATTCACATCTAAAAAGAAATTACACCTCAGCTTACATGTTTTTATCTTTTAATAAAAATCGATTAATTTCTATAATATTTTGTAACCTCGAACGTTATTAAAGCTACAGTCAAAGTAATAATAATGAATTAAATCCTATCGCCTGTGTTGTGAATTCCCACTGTGCATTTTCTATGTGGGAAAATTCATACAAATACATTTAACATTGAAATGATGTGTTTGGTACCCTTACCACTTATATGGTTTTTATTATACTATAATCACGGCCAGCTAGGGACATACCAATGGGTGAAAATATATTAAGTTATTTTTCTATAGCCAGCGTAAGATAGTAAAATTACGCAAACATTATTTTAAATTAAATTATAACCTAATGTAGTCAGTTCCAATATTAAAAAAAACACAAAGATTCAGATAAAATAATTAAGGTCTGTAATAGTATAGTAAAGAAACTAAACTCAATTACTTATTGTGGTTTTTTTTTTAAATTGTTTTCCATTTAACTTATCAATTTAGGTTTGGCCTACTTTCCCCCGACAGCTTACATTATACAGATATAAGTTTCCTTTCATTTCGATAAATTCTTATTCGTTTCATGTCACTTCACAAGAGTTCATTGTGAAAGTTTTACGTTGTTGTGAAAATTAAGTATTTGTTCTGATCATTTAAAGGGATGTTTCTACAAATGAATATATATTATTCTCTACGTGGACACCACCACGAACGCAAGGCGACTATCTATTCCTCCTCCCACCCCCTCCCTCGCTCTTCCGGCATGCGCAACAGACCATATCGCTATCTACCCCATCAGTGTGGTGAGCTGTGGTTCACAACGAATGTTTACAATCGTAGAGCCTGGTTGAATTAGTGGCGGCTATTAGGGGAGGGTAGTGTCGAATTCACAAATTATGAATTATTGATAATAATTATGTTGGACATTTTGCATTTCTATTAAACCTATAAGAATATACTTTGGTTTTTTCATATCCAAACAATTTGTTTCGAAGAAACAAAAATTATTAAATTTATTAATTACAATTTTCAATAAAAAAACATATTCTTTTTAAAAATTTAATTTAATCCTAGGTGGTATCGTGCACAAGAATTTGGATCTCTATATTTCTTTTTTTTCGATGAAGATATTTGGACAAATGGAATTATGATTAAAAACGTCACGTCTTCTGTTGAAATACAATTTAAAACTACGCCTGAAAATTGTCTTGTAAATTTAACGTGTAGAGGACAGCAGACTTTAATTAGAAATGCTTTAATTTCAGGTATACTTTTGTTTGTTATAGGATATAGGAATATATATCGTATATTCAAATGATAATTATATATATATATATATATATATATATATATATATATATATATATATATATATATATATATTTACTTTCCTCCAGATTTTAACCTAAAAAAAGAACTTCAACTGCTAGATATAGAACTTTCTAAAAATATAGAGATCTGCTTGAATGTCAATGAGATTGACACGTTTGAAAATTACAGGTATCTCTGCAATGAGTGACTAGAAAATGACGTTGTTTACTGTGAACAAGTGTATTTTAGGATTCTCTTCATTTTACGCAGTTAACATTGTCTACTACTTTATTCAAGAAAAACATAGTTTACATTTTACTTATATCTCGTTTGCATCCTTTAGGTGTTGCGGATTCAATAGATGGAATGAATATTACTGCAATGACCAAAGTGTCTATTTTAAAATTGTCTTCTTTTATTTACCGTTCATCATATCCATTCCTATTATGATGTATATTCTGTATAAACTGTGGCTCAGTTACAGGTTAGTTTAAAAAAAATTCCGCAAAAATAATTGAAATATTCTATATTTAAAATTTTAATACCGAATTGATTTTAAAAATTTTAAATCATATTTCATATATTTTTATGTTATTGTCCATTCAACAGACCAATAAACTTTGGTATTTATTCAGAAGCCAATACTGAGATAAACAAGTAAGTGCTAACTGACAAGAATACAAAATTGTATTCTTATTGTATTAAACAATACATACATAAACATGCATAAATGTATCAATTTCGAGGCTTTACATCAATTTATTTTAAATAATAATCATTAAAAAAAGTTTTAAAAAACCCACGTTTTCTGATTGAACTAAAAAGTAGAAAATAAATACTATACATCACAATAATGCAAGCGATCACTCTACTATAAGCGATCAAAAACGTGGGGCGCCGAAGTAAAAGTTATATTACTATTGATTAGATAATACTATTGACTTTTATTAGGGAGCTTGTAGAGAGTCAACAGTATTAGAAACTGTAAGAAAATCACGGCGCCCCACGTTTTTGATCGCTTATAGTAGAGTGATCGCTTGCATTATTGTGATGTATAGTATTTATTTTCTACTTTTTAGTTCAATCAGAAAACGTGGGTTTTTTAAAACTTTTTTAATGATTATTATTTTCTACTTTTTAGTCTTTGTCTGTTTGCATTAAAATCTTGCTATCGATTTTATCTTTTCACTTTTTTTTGGGTAAACGAAGACAACTCGTAAAAAGACAACTCGTAAAAGACAACTCGAAAAAAAATCGTTGTGTGAATACGTTACTGACTAGAACACGTGTCGAGTGGGATAGCAATCGTGTGCCCAACCACTCGACCATATCGTCTCCCCCAAACTGGCCTACATCCTGTAACTTTAAACTCGGTTCAAAGTAAATTATTTGCCCCTAAGCCTGTGGCAACGTTGGATCGTTCGCTTCACTGCGCGCGAGGTACGCGTCGCTGGTTTTTTTTCTAATGGCTCGCAGAGGAGAATTATATATATAGATTATATAGCGGTCTAAAATGCTCAATAAAATGTTTCCATTGATCAATTTAGTAATAATAACAATTGCATATTCTATGGTCATCCAAAAGAAAGCTTCCCTGAAAATTTCAGCGCGCTAGCTAACTGGGAAGTGCCAGAAATTTCGATCGCAAGATTTGATTGGAAAGACAAACAAACACAGAAACACAGACACAGAGAAAGCAAGTTAAAGAAAACGTGGGAATTTAATCAGCATTTACACATTAAAAATGATAAACTGCAAACAAAAATAAAAAGGTTTACCTAAAGAACCTTAAAATACAATAAAGCGAGAGTGAACTCCCCTAAACTATCTCGCTCTCTTTTGTAAAACAGTTAAAGGAATGCACCTCCAGTCCGATGGGCCTTACACATTTTTACTTTTTCGTATACTACGTATAGAGGAAGTATTGTAATCGTGCAAAAAAATTGGAATATTTACATATCTCGACGTTTTACACCCCCTTGAGTCGGAAAAACATAGTTTTGCAATGTTGTACGTATATCTGTGTGTATGTGTATGTGTGTCTGTGAACACGATACCTTGAGTACTGTTAAAGATAGGTTGATGAAATTTCATATATAAGCTTTGTATCGGCGATTTCCGGTAACCGGAAGTGGAACTTATGCTATTTTCAATTTGTCAAAAACCTATATTTTGAGATCTGTTGCAGATAGATTAATGAAATTTTCTGCCTCCTTTCTAATTTTACGTAATGTAATTTCCGTTGATTTAAGTAGTAATTTCCCAATTCTCTAAAAAAAACGCATGTGAATTTACAAAGTTCTAATAATTTTCCGCACTGTTATACACATCTTAGTTTGGCGTTCACTTGGTGTGCAATTCTTTTTTCTACGGGATTTTATTCTATTTTTGAAAGTTTAAGTAATACAAAATGGATTAAAAATCATGTCTATATCTCGAGTTGCCATCCCCCGTAGTGTTATATAACAATATTCGAGAAAGTTTAGGGAAGATCACTACCGGTTTAGTGACCATGTTTTTAATACTTTCATTCTTAAAATAGAACCGAGTAGAAAAAAAATTGCACACCAATTAAACTTAATCAGCGTGTGTACTTCCCTTAAAAAAACAAAATGGGGGGGGGGGGGGGGGGGAAAGAATTTTTATTACTTTGTTTTGGTGTTAGGAAAACAAGTTAATAAAAAGTCTAGTGACAATTTAAGCGGAATTTCCTTATGTTAATAAGTAAATCATCCTATAAATATAAACTCCTACACGATGCTCAGTTTAAACCACACGAGCAGAGCTAGTCCCCGCCCCCTCGCGAGATCTGCGCGAGTCTGGCCAATGGCAGCGTGTGTAGACGTTACCTCTCACTAGCGACTGCCTCAGCCGGTGTGCTATATTTGTATATTCTTAGTAATCTTAGCCAATGCAAATTAGAAGAAATTAATTTTTTGTGACCGAAAGAAAGGATATTTTTGAAAACTTTCTTCGGCAATATTGTTCTCAATTATGGCAGGAATCGATTGGTAAATGTTTCAAGTCGCTAAGTGGTCTGGTTTCCGAGATATGGGCCAAAAACTGCATTTTCGAGGTTTTTTGGCTTTTCCGGGAAATCCAGGAAGGAATTCCGGGAATTTTTTGGGCCCACAATCATCCTCTGAACTTGCTTAACATATTTGCTTTGGAACTAGTCCTCGATATTGCTTCGTTTAGGAGGAGATACGACTTAAAGCTGCGGACATCCATTCCCAGAAATGTCGAGTTAATAATCGCAATTCTCCAGAATGGAAATTGCGCTAAAATAATAATTACATAATTAGCGGGGATTGATTAAGTGCAATGATGTTAGTATTTTTAATACTGCCTTTTTTTTATTCCATGCACTGAATAATTATTACTTTTAATCAAAGCAAGGTGAAGTAACAAAAGACATCTTTATTCGGGAATGGGAATTCCCGCAGGCTATTATTTGTGTTTTTTTGCGCATTCATTTTGTCTGTCCTTTTTTGCGCACAAAGGGGAATTCGTTTTTGTTGGTCGCACCAGAAAGCTCTTTTATAGACACCTGCACCAAACTACAAGAAGATATACTAGCCGTCCCGGATTGTGTTGTGTTCGTGTTGTGTTTGTGTTGTGTTTGTATTGTGTTGTGTTGTGTATGTTATGTGTTGTGGTTGTATTTGCGTTTGGATTTGGTTTTTTTCGTTTGCTTTTTCGTTTGTTTTTTCTTTGTGTTTGTATTGGTGTGTGTGGTTGTGGTTGGATTTGTTGTTAGGTTTTTGTTTTCGTTTGTATTTGTAATTGTGTTTGCGTTATGTTTGCGGTTTTTTGTTTTTGTTTTGAGTTGTTGTGGTTAGGGTGGGAAATGCCGAGTATATGATGATTTCTAAACACACGGGTAATGGTCTTTAACAGAAAGGTTTTTCACAGAGGCCAGAGCAGGGCCTGGTCGGGACGGCTAGTACCTATTTAGAAACTGAAACGGTACTCATGTTATCGTGTTGACAGACACTAAAAAAAACAGAGACACAGACACACGGACACACAGATGAAATTAAATTGCAAACTAAGTGTTCCCAACGCAGTACTGTTTAAAACGCCGAGATTTGTGAAAATCTCGATTTAAAAATCTCGATTTCGTTTTTCTGCACGATTACAATGCTTCCTCTGTATACGAGAAGGTAAAAATGTAGCGTGCGAAACATTCTCATTTCATTAAATATTAGTTGAATAATAATATTCTAAGCTATAACGTTTTATAAGCATTTGAAAAATCAGCTAAATCTAAAAGTTAAGGAAATAGTTAAATTGAAATCCAATTTTTAAAAACTTAAAGCGTCCTCTTATCTGAGATAACACAAATAATGAAATGAATTACCAATATTTCATTTAAAATTAATTCTTCACAGGTGGCAGAAAATCAAATGTAGACTAGGTGAGAGTGCACATGGAAACGAAACTGTATTAGCATCCAAGTTAATCACAATGGAAGGCTCGACATGGCTACTGTTCGACTATTACATTCACAAGGTAAGTTTATATATACCGTGGCACACATTTATGCTATAATCAAACATGCATTTATATTCAGAAGCTTAAAGCAACAATTTCGGTAATTCAATTTTCTTTTTTTTTTCTTCATGAGCTCTTCTTCTTCTTTGCTGGTCATAGTGCTGACAACATATCCTTTTACATGCCGAGGATGAAAAATTCAGCCAATTCTGATCCCAAAGTACGTTATTTAATTAATTTAAAAAAATTTAAGGCCTACATTTTATAAGCACTATTTTATATTTTATATCTAAAAACACGAAGTGTAATTTTTTACATTTGTTTTTACAGATAAAAAAGAAATCATGTTGGAAATTAATCTTTTTTTCCAACATCGACGAGCCACCATTTTTCGCCAGACTATTGGAAAGATTTATGCTGACTCTTCCTTTTGTAGTGTTAGGTATAGAAAGTATAATAACTGGAGATTATAAATGGGCAAGCGTATATTTTATATTTTCTATAATCATCTGGTTGATGCTTGGAAAATTTTGCTATAAACAAATCGTAGAACGTTTTTTTCACAAATATGAACAAATTAAAACAAAACAGTTCATCATTATCTTATTAAACATTTGTGACGCTGCAGTGTTTTGCTCTTCCATTTTGTGCTATGTCGAAATAATTTTCACGTTTATAGCTTTCGCGTTCTTAGAATTTGAAAAGGCTGATGTCATAATTAGCATTGCACTAGTTGTAGTTATCTATTTGTATGGTGTTTTCGAGACAACTAACTTACAGTTGAAAATGTGCTTGGGAGCTTTCAAAAATGCATTGGATGATATGGTAATTACTAACAGACACGAGCAAACGAAAGAATTCATATTTCTACTAGAGTGTGAAGGTTAGTGACTTTTAGATATTTATCTTACCAAGTCGTACATGTGAATACATTCTGCAACGTTCTTTTTGTTCTCTTTGTATCTCTTTGTATCTCTTTGTATCTCTTTGTATCTCTTTTACTCACTCTCTCTCTCTCTCTCTCTCTCTCTCTCTCTCGCCTTCAAATATCTTACATTTAAAATTTTACAGTAAAAACATTAAATTTCTCAGACAAAATATCTTAGACTAAGTATTTACGACCTCACGCAAAATATTTTTGATCAAGTATCAATATCAATAATCCAAAACTAGCTTATACCCGTGCTCCGCTACGGTAAAAAAAAATGGCAGATCAACTTAACAAACATTTGCTCAGTTTCCCCGGTTGTCTGGGCGAGGGAGAGCTCTCCTCACGCACGACCACATTCTCCAAGCTCAAAAAGCGATGAAAAAATGAAATGATTTGTAAAAAGTATATTTCAATAGAAACTGAAGTTTAAAAAAAAAGATCAAGCAGAACTTGTTACCTCCCTGAGGTTCAAATCGTTTAAAAACTAAATTATCTTCCCCTACTAGCCATCACTAATTCGACCCGGCTCTATGATTGTAAACATTCGGCGTGAACCACAGCTCACCTGATTGGGGGAGGGGGGGGGTGATAGCGATATGGTCTGTTGCGCATGCCGGAAGATATATATATATATATATATATATATATATATATATATATATATATATATATATATATAGTATAATGTAGTTTAGTCAAAATAATTAAAACGAGCCGGCCCGCGGCATAACATACGCCGCTATTTAGTTGTTGCTTTTTCTACTTTTCAGTAATTCATAATTTGTGAATTCGACGGTACCAACGCTGCCACTGAAAATATTTCTTTAAAACACTATAAGTAGCACGTTAAGGACCATAACCCCCCCCCCCCCTTTCCGTCCCCCCCTCCCCCCCTTCGTTTAAAATCGTTTCAAACTAAATTATCTGCCCCTAATAGTCGTCACTAAACCCAGTTCTGCTTGTAAACATTTAGAGTGAACACAGCTCACTAAGACCATATAGGGGTGGGGGTGGTAGGGAGCGCGTTTTGCAGCTTGTTTTCTAGCGTCTCCCAGAAGAGAATTATATATATAGATTGAGTAGGCCTATAATATAATAGAATACATAGAAAATAGCAGAATAGAATTTCAGCGTCGGTTTATATTACAACATAGGGAACTGGAGAGGGGAAAACCACTAGCGGGCAGCCGTGAGACCTATTTGTCGATTTTGCTACCGTAGCAAAGCACGTGTCTGTATCTACACTATCTGTATTGTTTTGAAAAGCAGGGTCAAGGACGAACAACCAAGATGTCACTTCAGACATCTACCATAACCTTTTTCAATCAAGCGCGGAGCGCTCAGTTCTACTCCGATCGTCATCCAGAAACACTGTGTTTACAGAATTTTCGGGTAATTAAAAACGAGTGATGTTGAAAGTTTCATTTCACGTAGCGTAGAGCAATAAAAAAAAAAATTAAAAATAAAAATAAATGGAAGACTATAAAAAAAAAAAAAAAGAACAACTATTTAACGAATACCTCTATGTAAACGATTAACAATATTTTATTTACTCTCTTCAAATAAAATTTGAAATTTCGATACCGTTTTTAAAGATATTATATACTATACGTATTTAGGTAAATAAATATGCATATATATATATATATATATATATATATATATATATATATATATATATATATATATATATATATATATGAATAAACATTTACACTTATTCTTCAGATGATCCTGAAAGCAATATGAATATTGATGTCGAAAATAAGCTACCATTATTCTATGACACTGAGGGGAATTTATATGTTTGGAAAGATTTATTTTACTGTTGCTGCCACCGTTTCTTTGGTAGCCAACCGAAGTCAAGTCTCACAAATATTGCAATGGTAGGGTCACGTTTATTTTTTCGAATTGATATCAACAGAATATTCCTCTGTAAACAAACATGCAGTTTTAGTATGGTTGGTCTAGAATGTTTCCTTATTGCTTCCGCTAATTACTCCCATTCGAAATACGCCATCGTTATTGCCCCTGTTAAGTACCCCTATTCATAATAATTAACCCACTCCCAGGATTACCTATCAATATGCCAACAATAATTTTATGATATACAGGCTGAAAGGGCTACTCGATTCTTTGTTCTAGCTCTAACCCTAGTATAAACCACGGTTATGGTTACGTTTAATGTTAGGATCAGATTTATGGTCAGAGGGTAATGTCATACACATGTGTTTTTCGATTTGTAATATTCATGGGGGTAATTCACGATGTGTACCTGATCGAGGGAAGTAACTCGGATGTAAATTGTAGAGAGTTAATTGACAACAGTGTAAAGTACTGTTTCCATTTATATCATATTTAATTAATTATTCTGTTTCTATTTTTTCAAATGAAGGTAACAATGAGTTGCATTTTGAGCTGCTACCTTCTGATGCTCGGAATGTTGGTCTGGTATTTTGAAGATTTTTACGACTACAGTTTTCTGAAAACAGTGTTTATCATAATCGCTGGCGGACTGCTGCCTAAGGTGCTGGGAATGGTGTTTGGGGCACGTCATTGTTATGTACCGTTGCAAAATACTGATAACAGGCAAGTACACAAACATTTATGTGTGTATGTGTTAGTGTATATTTGTATGTGTATGCTTCATAATGCCTCGATCATCCATGAAAGATTGATAAACTTTGCTTGCCATTTTAAAAAAAATATTTTAGAAGTGTATTTTAATTATTTTATTTCTTTATTCTCAGGTTCCAAATATTTGTTCAAAAAGAAATCGAAGCCATTTATGTAAGATTGTATTAAATTATTAGTAAATACAAAAGTCACCGGCACTTGTTCGATTGAAATATCAATCAAACTTTCAGAGCTCTATTTTATCAAATCGGTTTTTACCAAACTTCTTACTCATGAAAACTGCCACTTAAAATTAAACTCTCCTTTTATTGATTTACGTTTTATCCAATCATATTCAACATATCATATTTTTTATGCAGAAAAAGGCTTCTGTGTCTGGGGCACCTCCTCAGGATGTAGGCCTACCGTTGCAAAATACTTTTAACGGGCAAGTACACAAATATTGATGTGTGTATGTGTTAGTGTACGTTTATATGTGTATGCTTAATAATGCATCAGGAGCTTTACAAGAGAGTTAAAAATTGCTTGCCACTTTTTAAATTTATTTTCGAAGAGTATTTTTAATTATTTTATTTCTTTATCGTCAGGTTCGAAATAAGTGTTCGAAAAGAAATAGAATCCATTTATGTAAGATTGTATTTAACTTTTAGAAAATAAGAAAGTCACTGTTTTTTTTTCTATTGAAACATTAATGAAACTTTCAAAACTGTCTTTAATCAAAATAGTTGTTATCAAACTTTATAGTCATAAAACTGAAACTTAAAATTAAAGTCTGTTTTTGTTGATTTTCTTTTCATCGAAATAATGTCTATGAAGATAACTTTAATAAATAAATTCTCAGGTTTTCTTGAGAGTTTAAGTTGTAGAAAATGTTAAAAGAATATATGAGTATATTCAGAAAATCATATATATTGTTGTTTTTTTTCTCCAGAAAATCGCTTCTAAAAATGTTCTGCTGTTTGTTGGGAGAACAGGGAATGGCAAGAGCTCATCAATCAGGTCAATTCTTAAAGACGGGACAACAGCACCTGGGACCTCAAAAACAGCAACTGACCCTTCAAAAACAGCACTTGACTCCTCAACAACAGCACCTGGCACCTCAACAACAGCACCTGGGACCTCAACACTACAACCTGGCTCAGATACTACCACCCACACCGTCGGCGACTTGGAGATGATTGCCGGCACTGGGATCGGTGATAACGGTGAAGATATGATAGTGAACGCTGAAGATTTAGTCAAATCGATATCAAGAAAATTGACCAACGGTTTTACTGCTCTGGTTTTTGTAGTCAAGTACGGCGTGAGGTTCACTAAACAAGAAGTAGACGCAGTGGAAACTGTCAAATCTATTTTTGGCAATGACGTGTTTGAAAAATGGGGGATTATCCTCATGACGTATGGAGATAACTTTTACCTTGACCATGATGATGATCCCAATTCTTTTATAGCATGGTGTCGAGCTCAAAATGGAGATTTTAAAAATCTTTTTGATGAATGCAACGAAAGATGTGTGCTATTTAACAACAAGACAAGCGACCCATTAGAACTGGAAAACCAGCGAGAGTTGTTATTGAAACAAGTAGAAGCTGTAAGAGAATCATCAAGTGGTCTCTACACATTCGCCCACCTTAAGTTTGCTGAGCAGAGTCGAAACTGTTGGGCAAGAAAAAACAAGGGGAAAGCTACTTATAATACTTTTAATTGACGGAAAGTGAAAACAAGAAATTTAAAAAGTAAAATAAGAAAACAAAACGATCAGCTAAAACACATTTCACAATGGACCCGAGCGAGAAAAATCTCAAAAGTATTCGGGAGGCCTATTCAATATTTTAAAAATCATGCACAGCGTAGTTAAAACTAATATGGTTATAAAATCCTTACTGGTTTTTTTTTCGGAATTTGCTGAAATTGGATGTATTTGATGTTTTTAATATTTTCCGTAACTAAAATAAAAAAAAAAGCAAAAACAATTTGGTTTTCAAGTGTAATTGCGACATTAACAAAGGCATCCTGCTATTCGATAGGTTAGCAGAATTGTTATTGTACTAAATGTAAACTAAAAATAATGGCAGAAATAAGTCATGTGGTTTAAATTCGAATTGTTGTTTTAAGCATGTACCTGCAAAGTTTTGTAAACAAAAAAATACTATAATGTGGGGCTGTCAGAAATCGATAAAGGAGTTCCTGTACAGTCAATTAATATTTGTCTTACGAAAGTGAAACATCGGGTAATAAACTAGAAATGATAAAAAAATAGAAATGTAGCCTATTCTCAACTAATTATTTTCAAGTTCCCTGGATTTCTAAATTTGTATAACATTGATTCTAAAATTTATGAGATATCTGAATTATTTTCTTTATTTTTTTTTGTATCATTTTTACGGTCGCTTTATTAATTCGGTCGCTTCCATTTCGTAGGATCAAATGGTTGCTAGTTTCAGAAAAATTTCTACACTTTTAAACAATGTCATGTCTTTCAACTCTAATTATTTTACTCTTGTTTGCAAAAATATCATCGTGCTTTTAACCTTTCGTTATTTTTTATATCAATTTTTTTTTGTGGAAGAATTAATTAAACTAATTTCTTTCTCTCTTTCTCTCTCTTTATACCTCACTCTCTCTCCCTCTCTTTCTATTATACTCTTTTGATTCTATGTAACTATATTTAATGGTCAATTTTAGTTAATATTTTAGCTTCAATTATTTTTCAAGAAATGCAAATAATTTTCAATGTAGATTTGTCAGCTATTTATTAACTTTGTTGAAATAAATGCTCATCAATAAAATAATTTCAGATTTTTAAAAAATTTAAAGTTTGAATCAATGGTAACCGTATTTTGTTTTGTCGCTATTCATATTTTCTAGGCCAGGGGTCTCCAAACTACGGCCCGCGGGCCGGATGCGGCCCTCGAAGTCCTCTCATCCGGCCCGCGGAGATCTTTTTGTCCAAGGAATATATGTTTGTTGGTGATGGCTGAGGAACTTTGCCAAGAAAAATCAAAGACATGCCTGGAAGAAACTGGCCCCCGAACTAAAATTTGATAGTTAATGCGGCCTTCGGACTGAAAAGTTTGGAGACCCCTGTTCTAGGCTAATACTATTAAAATAAGAAACAACCTGGGAAATAAAAAAATAACAACCAACAATAGCAGTTTGTATAAAGCTCTGTATAACGGCAATAAAATCGTAAGGTATTTTTTTACGCCATTGCGTGTAATATGTAGGCTCATAGAAAATTTATATATATATATATATATATATATATATATATATATATATATATATATATATATATATATATATATATAAATATATATATATATATATATATATATATATATATATAGGCCCTATATATATATATATATATATATATATATATATATATATATATATATATATATATATATATATATGTAAATATATATTTATGTATATATATATATAAATAAATATAAATATATATATATATATATATATATATATATATATATATATATATATATATATATATATATATATATATATATATATATATAAATGTATATATATATATATATATATATATATATATATATATATATATATATATATATATATATATATATATATATATATATATATATATATATATATGTATATATGTATATATAGATTTATATAGATGCTTATATATATATATATATATATATATATATATATATATATATATATATATATATATATATATATATATATATATATATATATATATATATATAATTTTATTTTTTACGTGTTGTAAATAAATATAGATTTAGAAGCTGAAAATTTTTTTTTGATTCGTGGATAAAATAAGGATTGCTGAGGGGTGAAACTCGAAATTTTCTGTTCTTTACATCATTCGCAAATTTATACAATCAGTTTTACTTAGTAAACCTTAAACGCAGATTCTACTAACCGATTGGGATTACAAGTTCAGTCGTTGATAAGCTAACCAGAACGTATCACAGCTCTGTTTATTAAATTATTTTTTTTTTTATTTTCATAATGTTACAGTATAGTCTAAAGCCTCTGGGGGCCTAAGCAGCTACATTTTAAAATCTCAATAAAAGTTAGTTTTTTAGTTATATTCCCTTTACAACGACCATCTATCTTACTTATTACGGTGCTTTGACCACAGGCGCTTTGACCATAAGGGGTTTGAGCATAGGGGGTTTGACCATAGGGGCTTTGACCATAGGGGGTTTGAACAAAGAGGGAGGTTAAACAAAATATATAGATTGTAAAATATAAATTATAAAATGGTTTTTTTTTATTTAAATTTATGATACAATTAATACGATTTTATACATGTTTCCCGAGAGTACGTTAATAGAAATTAACATGCATTAAAAAAAAATTCAAGAACGATATTTTAGTCTCCACCTAAAGGCTGGTGCTAGGCCTCATAGATTTATTTTAAATATAAAGGGAACACAAATAATGCGACATATAACAAGTTTCACAAATGAAAAATGTAGATGTACTTGAAAATACATAGCATATATAAAGGATAAATAAACCTGGAGTGATCTCCCCTAAACTTTCTCGAATATTCTAATATAAAACTACGAGGGATGGCAACACAGGACATAGACAATATTTGTAATCCATTTTTAATTACTTAAACACTTTATAATAGAATGGAATCTCGTAAAATAAAAGAATTGCACACCAAGTGAACGCCTAATAAAATGTGCATAATAGTGCGCAATAATATGAGTACTTTATAAATTTACATGCGTTTTCTGAGAAATCGGAAACAGCGTAAATTAGTACTTCCGTTCAACGGAAATTACTCAAAACTGGAAAGAAGGTAGAGAATTAGATCTTTTACTTACATGTGAAATTTCATTTATCTATCTGAAATAGTACTCAAGTTATAGGCTTTTGAAAAATTCAAAGTAGAAAAAGTACCCATTCCGGTTATCGGAATTTGCTCAAAAGTTGATACGGATCTACGATTTTGATAAAATACTTATATATGAAATTTCATCAACCTAGCTGTAACGGTACTCAAGTTATCGTGTTTACACACAGACAGAAACACAGACAGACAGACAGACAGACACACAGACATACGGACAAGATTGCAAAATTATGTTTTTCCGTATCAGTGAGATGTAAAACGTCGAGATTTGTAAAAATCTCGATTTTTTTTTTGCACGATTACAAGACTTTCTCTATACTTCGTTTATACGAGAAAGTAAAAATGATAAAAAACAAGCCAGCAATATAGTCAAAGAAGTAATACTTAAAATGGTTAATTAAATGACAGATGTGCTATAGCACGCAAATATGTCAGTACATCTGTTTGACCATTTGTCTGGACAGCACGTTGTACTTTTTCGTGCAGCATCTTGTATCGCTAATCAGTGGGTAGCTTGCCCCATGCGACACCTTGCAGTTGTCTATGTGAACAAAAGACTTGTGATCAAAGCCGGACACAGCGCTTGCGATCAAACACCCGTTGACAACCCGCCTGTGATCAAAGACCCTCTGCTGAGAAAACACCTGTGGTCAAACTCCCTATGGTCAAACCCCCTATGATCAAACCCCCCTATGGTCAAAGCACCGTTATGGTCAAAGCCCCTATGGTCAAAGCCCCGCTGTGGTCAAAACCCTATGGTCAAACCCCCTATGGTCATAGGACCTGTGGTCAAAGGTCCGCGCACCCTTATTACTTTCATTTGTTACCTTTCTTACCTGGGAATATTGTTCTCATACACACGGGTACAGAGGCGTAGCGACCCATTCCTGCGCTCTGGGCGAACAATCATGTGTGCACCACCTTCCTCCCATTTATATAAATAGTTATTAGTGTTAATGAAAAAGTCCCCCCCCCCCCCCGTTGGAAAAGATGGTGTTACTTTTTACCTTCACTTTCCCACAGTGTTTCTTCCAGACTTTTTTCTCCGGGGGGGGGGGGGCAATTGAAATCTTCGGGGGGGCGGTAAACTTTCTTCGTCGGGGCGGACACTGTTAAAAGTATATATTTTCTATATAAATTATATAAATTTCATTTCGTTCGGGGGGCGGTAAAAATTTTTCGGGGGGGGCTTCGCCCCCCCGAAGAGATGCCTGGAAGAAACTCTGCTTTCCCATAAAGTTTTATTTTTAAATGTGGTGCCACCCAACTGATGTAGAAAACAGTTCAGTCAGTGAGTAAAGTCTTGTAATGTAGACGTTAAGTTATCTAATTTGACTGTGATATTTCAATACCACAGCATAAAATGAGTTTCTAATTGTATATAATCATTTTGGCGCAGATTTAGGGTCGGCGCCCGGGGCGGCTGCCCCACCCGCCCTTCCCTAACTACGCCACTGAAATGGCGAGGGTGTTTATAATTAAGTACTTAAAATTTCAAGTTAAATAAATTTTAATGAATGAATCACATCTAAAGTCGGATAAAATTACCTTTAAAATCTATTACTAATCAACTGTACAGGAGATATAGACTGTGACGCCATCTTTCTTTTTTAAAGAACAGCAACTTGGAATTTTCGTTGTTAAAAATGTCTTCGATTAGCCTACCTTGCTTAATAAAATACCCGGGACCTAGAATGAACGTAGAATATCAAATATGGAATTATAGAATATAGACCTATACCTAATAAGGATTTTAAAGTAATGGAGTCAATGTTGTGGTCGTTGCAACTTTTTTTCCAATTTAATGATGAAATAATATGTAGTTTTAAATTTCTGATTTAATATTCACTATTCTTCTCAAAGTTAATCTAGATCTATATTTTTGTGAAACGTAGTCTTATTTCGCGAGTGTTTAAACGACGTATCTTGATAGAAATGTATGATACTTATAGTAAATCTTTATATTCTTAAAAATGGCAGACAGCATGTAGTCTACATTATTAATTTAAGAATAAATGTATCTAAGCAGTTGTTGAGTAGTAGTGGAATTGTGTTAGATAAAATGCATTTACTTACCTCCATTAAACATAAATTATATATAAACCCATTAAATATATATTAATACATCTCTATTAAACTATATCACATTGTTAAAAGAGACTTTGAATACTAAAATCAATACTCTAAAACCTAGCTTTATCACAGTTTTTCTGACATTTGTTTAGGTTTTATATACATAAAAAAAACTGTGCATCAAAATTCAATTAGTCTCAATATGGTTTTACATATTCACATTTACATCCGAACAAAGAATTACATTTCGCATATGATACGTTTAGATATTGAAACAAAACAAAGCCAACTATAAAGCTTTAATTAATAGAAAGAACAACAATCGTATTCTGTTCTTTTTTTAAAAAAAATGTTAATCTTATCAGTCCCGGCGCCAGGCTATTTAGCGCCCTAGGCAAAACTTATTAAAACGCCCCCTCACACAAATTAATTACTAAAACATATGTATAAGAAAAAAATAATCAAAAGTGACATATTAATTTATTATCAATTGCATTCACGTTATAAGTAAACATCAAAATCATATTTTACTTGCCTCGTTCGTCCCATAAGTTTGTACTAATTCCTTCATTTCCAGTTTGCAAGCGTAATCACATTTTATTGAAATTGTTGCTAAGTGCCTGAGTCTACTTGTACTTAACGACAAAGCCCCTCTCCGTCCCGACTTAGAAATTTTAAGAGCTCCCTCTCCCCCTCCAGGGAGAAAAAAAGTCTGGAAAAAAATCACTGAATCAAAAAAAGTTCTTGTAATGTTAGTCTCCCTGCAGTCCTCCCAAGGTGAGTTTTAAAACAGAACTTACCTGTTTTAAGCTTGACTGTCTTTAGTTATAATTGTAAAATGTCTATATTGTGTGATTATGTATCGATTTTTTGGTTTTTGAAAATCTAATTAATTAGATGTCTAATTTACGACTAAGACTGTATGTCTGCTATCATTAAAAATTGCAATCTATAACGGCAACTGATGTATTGATGTATTTGATAATGCTAAAAAACCTACCAAACTATTTTGTTTAGGTTTTTTGGCTTTATATAATTGTTACAATAGCAAATAATAACTTAAAGTTGTATTTATAAGCGGTCAACCTAAGGTGCAGGAATTTGAAAGAGTGTAGAATTACGCAACGAATCATCTCCCATTTGAAAATCCAAATACCCAAATTTAATTCAAGGGAAATAACTTTCCAAATTAACAAAGTGTAGCTAAGACATGCTTGAAAAACACAAAAAAACTCTCTAAATTCCATTACGTAAT